ATTATTTTGCGATTTAACTCCCTACTTCCTAACATTTTATCTTACAAAATATTATATAAGTCGATAGGGAACACGAACCGAAAGACATGTCATCAAGTTAAATGATCATGCTTTTCTTTTCGATGTGAAGTCCAAGGATTAAGAACCAAAAGTATCATAAACAGCAAATTCCAAATGCCATTAATTGTGACTTGAACCTAATTATTTTTCAAAAAAAAAAAAAACCTTCTTTGTAAAATAATGATCTGTAAAGAGTAATTACTAGCATTGAACAAAAGAGATTTCACATATACTCATATGCACCTAGCCATCAAGTAGCTGTTAAGTTGTATCTGGGAAAGCAAGGTTTCAAATCATTTTGTGCATTAGCATGAGCAGCAGCAGGGGAAACAGTAACATATTTTCATTGCAATCGCTTACCTCCCATCCATGCCAACAATAATGATAGTGTTTTGAGATCCAAATGCTGCAATATACTGTGTCGCCTCAGGCAAATGGAACTGAGCAAACGACCATTCTGAACTGAAGTATCTTGGTAAAACCCCTGAAAATTTTTGGTGAAAGATTAGTTAAAGATTTCGAGTCCAGAAAACTTCCATTAAACACTAATATGAAAGAAGTTTTGGCCCCTGTTCCCAAAACCCAAACAAGAAGGAAAGTTGTCTTTTGTTTCCTTGTTTCCTCCATTATTGTTCTATTTAAAATATGAGATAAGCAGAGACTTGAAAGAAACCACTCTTACTATAATATTAAGATTCATAATATAAAGGACTTTAATCATAACCATTCAAAATCCCCAATAAAACTGATAGATGAACTATCTTACCTCTCATGAATGATAACGATGAACTAGGGTTTGAACCAGTATTCAAAGGAACAAGAGTATCGAGGGCATTAGAAGAATTTTGTTGGAACAGTGTTTTCCCCTGAATTACATTTGTATCAGAAGATGAACCTGCGCCAACAACTCTCACTCGAAGACTGAAAACATGAACCGTGCCTTTATCACTTGCTGCTGCCAACCATTGGACATTTGGCGAGAGAGCAAGACTGAAGATTTCTGCTCTATCCATTCCTCTTCGTACCTAAACGGAAGAATATGCAATGAGATAAATAAAAGAGGGCACTAAAACCCATTAAAAAAAGTGACACTACAAGGGAAAATGAAGCCATTCCTCAATCCTAAACCCCATGAATCTTACACTATTGTAATGTGCACAGCATAAAAGAAAGGTATTCTAAGTCATCAAATTTTTTGCTTCGTATTAGATGAATATATATATATATATATATATATATATACATATTTCATAATGTAAAGAAAAATAATGATACTAACTACGAAACTTAGATTTAAACTCTATTTTCATTGTGTAAAGGACCAATAATCATGGGATTGCATGTATTATGTCTTCTCCTTTGCTCACTATCAAGATCATGTCCAACATAAACAACCACGTGTTTGTCCGGTTATCCAAGATGGCTAATTGTGAGCTTAATTTGAAGTCATGGGTTAGACTGTGGTGTTCACCTATTTAAAGTATTAAACAAAGTACTCTACAAATTTTCTGCCGTCAAATAATAAATGGTGATGCAAATGTGCGGTACATTGAGGTGCACAAGAGCTAGCCCCTACATCAGCTTTTCAGTTAAAAGAATCACATCCCATGTGTGTGCGACTTTCATTTGGAACCATACTCAGAGCAGAAAACTTAAATTTAGGGACTAGCAGTACAATACCTCTTGCAAGAGCATTCCATCCAATGTATTGAAAATTCTTATCAAAGTACCCTTAGTGCTAGCAGTTGCAAGAAGTAGACCATCCATTGTCAACGTCATGCATGCAATATGAGAATCGTGAGCATTAAATAACTTCGTCATATTTAGCCCAAAGTGCTCGACGTGGACCTGTCCACGGTGAAGTCCAGGACATGCCAGCACAAATGTATTTACATGGTGGGAAAGGCAACATAGGCCTCTCGGATTTGTAACAGTTTCAATCTGATGAAGAAGCTTGACATCCATCAGCGTGTAAACATATATTTTATGCTCGAGTACAACAATAAAGTGTTCACGCTTAAGTTTTACAGCTCGAATCTCAGACCTAAATGAAAATTCACCAATGCATTGACTTTTATAATCATCCCATATCAAAACTTTGTTTGGTGGATATTGAGAATTACTTCCACTGCCCACAAGTGCCAAAATGTTGCACCGAAACAGCATCTCAACAATTTTAAATCCACCAATGCCCAATTCACGTCTAAATGTTTCCTTGAAAGGATCACAGTTGTAAATACGAAATCCGCAGCTTGTACCAGCAGCAAAGCAACTATAATCTTGATTCCAGAACACTGAATGTAGTTCTAGCTCACTCTTTCCATTTTGTTCTTTTTGGTCAATAGATCCGGAAGCTCCAATTTCTGAGGATTCCTGAGTACTCGCCATTTCTGGTTTAAGTACTCCTCGAAATGTTTTAACAGCCAAGCTTGACCAAAAAGAGGGATATAGTCCTTCACTGCCTGCAGCTATTTATATTAGTTCATTTATGTGCAGTATGGAATAAAAAGAAGTATAAGCCTACCAGTAGAGATCAGACAATGGCAACATTGCAGACTGACGTATTAGCATAAGATTGACGACGCTGTACTGGTACAAATATTTGACATGTATTAGCAATGGTAAAGTCACGTTGCAAATAGCAACTCTTTTTCCGATTCAATCACGTATTTGACAATGTTTACTTCATAAGAACTAGTTAATGTTTTTGTTGAATTAAAGGTTTAGTCAGTTGCATTCAGCACCTTGCGCAAATTAGTTGATAATAGAAACTAGTTTTTCCTAGAACTTCCCACTATCGAATTCATCGGCTCACGACATAATCTTGTAGCAGTACATGGAATGATGCAGTTACGCATATAATCTTTGCAACGATTATGCTTCGTCAATTTTGCATTAACTCAAGACAGCTTAAAGTGATGAAATCTACCAAAATGAAATCTGACGAAATTTTGTTACGAATGAAAATTTACATTCTCGTTTATCTTATTCTCCTAAACCAGCCAAAACAAGATGGCATCAGAACTAAGACAGTAGAATGATCGGCAATTATATTATGAGAATTCCATCTAGCAACTTCCCGTTGATGCTTTATATTCATCAACTTCCTCCTTGATTCCAACAGTGTTACGTCTACGTTAAAACAGGGCACATAATTGGGGGAAAAACTGAAAGAAAAGTCCACTGATACAGTAGATTCGCAATACGAACGGAACAGAATGACAATGGGTAGTAAAATCAAATTAAATAAAATGGATGAGTTGCCAGAATTGCAGATGATCAAAATCTCAGCAATCTCGAATCAAATTATACGTGATTGGAAATCATAGTCGTAATTTCAAGAACATCAAAGAATACCTCTATTCCTTCTAAGCTCACGACGATCTATCCTTTGTCTGCTCTCTCCGGCACTCCCGTCCTCTCGGACTCAAACCGCAGATACGCGCAGTCACCTCCACGGAGTTTTTACCTTCTTGTTTATTTATTTCTGTTTTTTGTTTGAAATTTTGTATATATTCGTTGAATTTTTTCCAAACTAATAAATGTTTATAGACTTTTTTTTTTTTAGTATAATTAAAATAATAGAATTGTTTTTTAGATAAAATTTAAGGGTTTAGAGATAATTAATGGGTAGAATTTTCTTTTTATTTTTTTAAACTATATTAAAGTTTTTAACATTTTAGTCTAATATTTTAAAATAATAATACGTAAAAAAATCGATACACATCAACGAAAGCGATCCTCAATATATTAAATTATAATTAAATTTTTTATTATTTAAACTAAAGATGTGCATTCTTTAGTGGTTTAATCACAATAAATAAATAAATAAATAAATAAATATATTTAAACATGTCTTCTCTCAAATTTTCATAGAAAAATACGCGACTTAAGAAAAACATATTAAAAAGACTCGGGGTTAGTCTATGTGAATAGACTTTGCTCTTATGAGCAGTTTAAAATAAGTAACGTGGTAATGTCGCTTAAAGTTAATTAAGTGTTTGGTTTCGAGCAATTATATGTTTGATACCATCCTTTAAAGTTAAGTGCGAGTGAAAAAAACATGCTAAAATAATTCGTGTTGGTTTACGTGAATGATTTTTACTTCTTGAACTAATTTAAAACAAATAACATCATAACATTGCAAGGGAATGTAGGGAGATGTTGGGGTCATCATGTGTGGACTACGAATTATAAATCTAAATCTCGAGAATAGAGAGTTACACTGTAGTTTTTAATCGTATAAACATGTTATTGAAGCTATTCAAACCTTAGCGTAAACCTATGCATCGCCACACTGACAAAATATTTCACATATTGATTGAATTTGATTAGTCGACTTAGGCTAAAGAATATACGTATATACCATATTGTCTAGACTCACTCACAAGTGTTATATATATATATATATATATTTATAGATAAAGCATGTTACTCATAAATTATACTTACTCGGGTGCTCAAATTTTCGTATTTTTAAATATTTATTAAATCGAGACTAAACCAATTTAAGCATTAATCATTAACCATATTGTTAAAAACTAAAATATTGGACTTTCAATCATCATATTAAGAAAATACTTCTCATATTGATTAAACAATATACTATAATCACTCGAGTTAGATTAAAAAATAAAATTAAAATAAATTCAATTAATGATATGCATTTCATGAAAAAAAAATGTCACACATTTAATTTATATTAATTTTAGTAAAAGAGTTATACACTCGTTAATTTTAATTAAATACAATACCACACGATTGTTTTTTAACCAAGGCATAAATTAATCATTAAATAAATTTACCAAAATTCACATTTCATCGTAAAATTTCGAATTAAAATTGCTAAATTTCGCGATTTAAAAGTGAAATTTCATTTTACTCGGTGGGCTTTTTACGGGGCATGCTTCTGGGCCTTTCCAAAATGGCGGTTTGCTCCTTCGTCCTCTGCTCATATATATATACACAGTATGAATTAGGGTTTTTGGGACACGGAGGAGTCGGCTAGGTCAAGTTTGAGCAGAGAGAGTCCAAGGAACGTACTCTCGCGATGGGTAGAAGTACGAATTTTTTTCCATTTCTACATCTAATATCTTCTTCCATCTTCCTCTTCGATGATTAATTTATTTGTTCCTCGTAATTTCTGGTTTATATTTGACGCAAAAGCGAACTGTTGGAAATGGGTGGACCTTCGTCTGTTCCTCTTTGAAGATGCTGTGCTTTAGCCTTTATATGATTATTTAAAAAAAAATATAAACCATTGGTCTTGATGCATGTAATTTGTTCTATATTTGCAATATTAAAGTATTTGATGATGTTACAAGCAGAAGGGCCAACTAATATTGATTTTACTTTCGGTTCTTAATAATCTGTTCAATCTCACAAAAAAATTATTATCATAGTGTAGAGTTGGCATCTATTTAAGGCAGACTCTAAAGTACGTAAACCCTGCACTGGAATGGGGTTTTTCTTTACCCTTGGAGGAATATTGTTTCTATGTTTTATAATCGCTCTTTATTTGCAATAGTGTATTATTTAATAGGTGCTTTTGCCCTCTGGAAAATGTTTGTTGTTGATTGTTAGAATATGAAAGTTATGAAAATTGATGTGTGCGTAGCAAGGCTCATCATGTTCTTTTGAGTTGATGGTCTCTCTCAACTTGTATGCGGGCATCATTATTTTTCCGGACAAGTCGCAGCCCTGAATAATTTTTTCTGTTGGCTCATTCTTATTATACTTTGATCATCACAATTCTTGCTGGCTCTATTGTGCGTAAAGGTTGTTGCCTGATATTCATTAATTTTCATTTTTTTGTAGGACCTGCAAGGTGTTACCGGCAAATTAAAAACAAGCCTTATCCAAAATCCAGGTTCTGTCGTGGTGTCCCTGACCCTAAGATCAGGATCTATGATGTTGGAATGAAAAAAAAGGGTGTGGATGAATTTCCATTCTGTGTTCATCTAGTGAGTTGGGAGAAAGAAAATGTGTCTAGCGAGGCGTTGGAAGCTGCTAGGATTGCCTGTAATAAGTACATGTCTAAGTTTGCCGGGAAGGATGCATTCCACTTGAGGGTCAGGGTGCACCCCTTCCATGTTCTGCGGATTAACAAGATGCTTTCATGTGCTGGGGCTGATAGGCTCCAGACTGGTATGAGAGGTGCTTTTGGCAAGCCACTAGGAACTTGTGCAAGAGTGGCCATTGGGCAGGTTCTTCTTTCAGTTCGCTGCAAGGATAACAACAGCCAGCATGCACAGGAGGCCTTACGCCGTGCTAAGTTCAAATTCCCTGGTCGTCAGAAGATCATTGTCAGTAGGAAGTGGTATGAATTTTGGCATTCCCTCTCTCTCTCTCTCTCTCCCCGTAGCCAAACGAGATGTGTTTTTGTTGCTTGTGGAGCAATTTGTGAATGTTTCCTTTACTGAATTACAAAATCTTCAAATTTCCAGGGGATTCACAAAGTTCAGTCGGGCCGAATATCTGGCTTATAAGGCAGAGAACAAAATTGTGCCGGATGGTGTCAACGCCAAGGTAAGTTATATTGCATTCATCCATATGCTTGCTATCCTGTTGTTTGGATGTCTGGGTTAGCTATGTCTATGAGTATGCTACTTCCTTTGTGAAAATTATAATTGCACGGAATTGAAGACTGCTTACATTAATAAGCATATGATCAGCAACGGTATTATCTCGATGCTGGAAAAGGTTGTTATTTGGTTGGGACATGGGTCGTAGGATCATGTTTCTCGTACCATGTCATGTGATATTTTCTTTGGTTCTTCATCCTGATGAAACGCCTTAGTATGGTCAATATTTCATCATGGAGTCCAGTGTTACATTATTTTCTATTTGTTGATAACTGATGGAGCGGCAACTGGGCTTTGCTTGCAGCTTCTTGGATGCCATGGACCTTTAGCAAACCGTCAACCTGGAAGGGCTTTTCTACCTCAAGCTGTCTAAGCTCAGCTACTTGTTTCGTTTTTAGGTGTTTTTGTTTTCTTTTTTGACGCTTGGAACAAATCTATATTATCATGTAGTGTGTCTGTATTAACTCACAAGTCTGGCTGTTTTATTGCTTAAAAATGTTGGAGATACCAATGTAGCCAAAACGACCTTTTCTTTTCTCTCTATTTCTCGTTATGCTGAAGTTTCATAGAAGTTATTGCTACCATTTCAATCTTGATGAATCGAAAGTAAGAAGAATGGTTCCAACGAGTTTATTTCATTACTAGGATGAATGTTTCAGGGAAGTGTGATGTATTTTCAACATCATCATACTAGTTCCACTTTCATTTTATGCAAAATTTATAATTTTTATTGAATGAAATGTTAAGTTTATGTCATTTTAGTGTTACTAATTGCTTAAATAATAATATTAATGAACATATTAAATGAAGAATAGTGAAGTTTATAATTATATTTTTAATAGAGAAGTTAGGGCCATGAGACACATTTTTAGGAAATGTGAGAATAAAATGATATTTCAACCACACAATTCAACAACAGGCCAAATAATTTTTCTACAATTTAACGTTATAAATTGTTTTCTTTGTACTTTACTAATTTATTATTATTATTATTATTATTTTAATAGACAACACATCGTGTTTTGGCTATTGAGTTATGGTCGGCCTCTTCAATAATTTCTTCTATTCGCTGCGGTCATCTCCGAATTCTTCCTTCATGTTCTCCAAAATCTCAAAACCCTCTCGAAGGGTTGTTGAGGGTCTTCTCGCCCTCAGGCTCAGACTCCATTTCAGTCATCATCCGATCACCTCCTCCAATCCCCGCCCTCCCTTCTCCTCTCTTATTCGGGATCCAATCATTAGAAATTCCTCCTCCTCGGCCTCCTCGTCTCCATCGAAATTCCCTTCGAAGCCCATTTCTTCAAATCTTGGTTTGTCCCAAATCCTCTATACCCCCAAACTCCCCGCCGGAAATTCTTCTTTAGCTACTAGTTTCAATCCCTACCGTTCTGCTTCTAGGTTTAGATTGTTCTCTGTTAAGACTCCGGGTTTCGGGGGTCAAATCAATGGAAATTTCGCTAAGAAGGTCCTTGATAAGTCCGCTGCGGCCGTTAGCTCCGCATTTTCTCGGTATCGGGAAGCCATAGGGCTGCAAATTGAGGCTTTCTTCAGGAGAAACTATCTAGTTCTTCTGGGGTTTGGAGCAGTTCTTGTTTGTGCATTGCTTTGGAGGTTTATGTTCGGTATTGCCAACACCTTTATTGGGTTCTCTGAAGGCATGGCCAAGTATGGATTTCTCGCTTTATCTTCAGCTATCGTTGCTTTTGCTGTGAGTTTTCTCTATGATCTCTTCGCCCCATGTTGCCTAAATTTTGTAAGAAACTGAATTTACTGATACTTCGCTTGCCTTGCCGATGGTTGAGTTAACCCTGCCGTGATTATCTGTCAATAAAACCCTGGTGGTAATTTTCCCCGTGTACCCCGTAGAGATGAGATTAAGATCACAAATTATTCAAAGGCTTTAGCATTCTTATATTTGTTATTGATTTGTGCAGTGTAGAGATCTAGGTTTGTGAAAATTGAATCTTAGAGTTCATTATTTTCATTTGAAGGGTCTGTATCTGCGGTCTAGATTGACAATCAATCCTGATAGAGTTTATAGAATGGCCATGAGAAAGCTGAATACGTCAGCAGGAATTCTTGAGGTTATGGGTGCCCCTCTTTCAGGATCAGACTTGAGAGCCTATGTGATGTCTGGAGGTGGGTTAACTCTGAAGAACTTCACGCCAAATCGTAGGAGCAAGCGATGCTTTCTTATCTTTCCCATTAGAGGTTCTGAAAGGAAGGGTCTTGTCAGCGTTGAAGTCAAAAAGAAGAAGGGCCAGGTTTGCTTTTACCTTGCAACTTCCCTCTTTGTTTTCTTCTTGGAGCTGATATATTATTCTATTTAGGCTTTCCCTTCGAGTGTTTTCACTCGTTATAAAACGCATCTACTAGGGAGAGGTTTCCATACTCTTATAAAGAATGCTTCGTTCTCTTCTCCAATCGATGTGGGAGCTCAGTGTCGAGCTCTAATACTATTTGTAACCACTTATGTCCACCGCTAGCCGATACTGTTCTTTTTGGACTTTCCTTGAGGATTTCTCCTTAAGGTTTTAAAACGCGTATGCTAGGGAGAGGTTTCCACACCCTTATAAAGAATTTGCTTTGTTCTCCTCTCCAACTGACTGATGTGGGATGATCTTATCGGTTGAAGAGAAGAACGGATAACTACCATGGATTTGACCTAGTAGTCAATAAGAGTGAGTAAAAAATAAAGAGTTCAGAGGGAATGAGTTCAAGAGATGATGGTTCCTTGCCTAGAATTTATTATCTACGAGTTAGCTTGACAACTAAATGGAGTAGGTAAATGTTTGTCCCATGAGAATAGTCAAGATAGACACTCACGAATATTCCAAAACCACCCTTTTTATTAGGCAGTTCAGCTTGATGTTGTGTACATAAGAAGAACGATTTTACTCTTTTTAATATATGGTCTTCTCCTTATCTACAGTATGACATGAAGCTACTAGCAGTCGACATTCCGATGGCATCGGGTCCCGACCAGCGACTATACCTGATTGGAAACGAAGAAGAGTACAAAATAGGTGGTGGACTAATATCAGAACTAAGGGACCCTGTTGTAAAAGCAATGGCAGCTACCAAGGAATTTGATGATCTTGATCAAATTGAGGAAAAGGAGGATGCCGAGAGAGAACGTCGAGAGGCAGAGAGAAAGCAGCAAGAGGAGATCGAAAAACTCGAGAAAAGACGATGAAATCTTTCGTTCTCTTCAGATTTTGCCACGTAGTTCGTGTTCCCGTTGTGTTTTTTGTAGCAATTCTTCAGGTGTTCTTCAAGGTTCACTTTTGAGCTTGTGCAAGATTTCCTTTGAATACCAAAGTTCTCAAAAGGTTCATACCTGCCAAGTAAGTTAGTTGAATAAAGCTTGCAATGTCTTCCTTTCATGTTTATTCTCCTATTCTTTTGCCTCTCATTTTCACTACTTTAATCCAAAATAGTATTTATCAGCTTTTTTTTATTATTATTATTTTTTTAACATCAAGAAAATTCGAATATTTATTTATTTTTTGGTCGAAAATATCCATTTTTTTAATAAAACTCATGGCCAATATATCTACTTTTTAAGTTTTAAAATTATCTCATTAAGATGGTATTAAAATGATTTTGAAATTAAACTTGAAGTTTAAATAGGTTAATGACATATTAATCATAAAAATTAAAAAATTCAAGAAATTATTAGATATAAAATTAAAAAATTTAAGAAATTACTAAATACAAAGTTAAAATTTTAAAAATTTATTAGAAGAATAAATTTAAAGATTAGTAAAATGTTAAGATATATTAGCTTCAAAAATTAATTAAATGTTATTGGACTAAATAAACAAAAAAGTTAATAATAAGAGAATTATATTAAAATAAATACATTAAAGAAGGACAAAAAGGATGGTAACAAAATTCTCCCGCCAGTTCTTAGTATATAAGAGATTTTACATTACCTAAATCCGTATTTGAAACATCAGCTCTCTAACAGATTTGTGCCCAAATTTTTTTGAGGAATCTCAAATTTTGGATTCAATGGAAGGAAGTTATCTTATGATCGGTGCAGCTGTATTCATGTTCATCCGATCGTGACATGTGGAAGTTGATCTCTGTTCTGATCCATTGCCGCAAAAATTGGCTTGTCCTCCTCGATAATTTTCCCTATGCTCTGACATTCTTCTTTCTCCTTCAACCAACGCACTTCGGCCTTTATTAGACCGCCATTTCTCTAAATTTTCGTTTTCTTTTTCGTCCTCTTCCTTTTCCTGACGCTGATTCTCCTGTCGCTGATTCTCCTGAGATTTCAGCATCGGCTTCAATGACGAGTTGTACAAGATGCTGAATCAACGCTATCCCGAGGTAAAAACGTTTTGTCCATGCTTATATGGAGAAGGAAATTATATTTATTTGATTCAACCTAAAATTCGCGAATATGCCAATTCTTTTGCGTTCATTGTTTGTATTGATTGATTACGAACCATTTGTGCTATTTTTTTTGTGTTTTTGTTCTCTCTGATTCTTTATCCTCTGTTGAATGTCTGCATCTTACATTTGCTTCTGAAGTGAAATGGAATCCTCTGTTTTGATGCTGTGCGGCTACAGTTGTCCTTGTATTTGGATTCCGCCGTTTTTTCTGAAAAATTCGACGAGAGATCGTTTTTGGTAAAACTTTAGGGATGAAATTTCGAAGTTGGTTTTAGGATTGTGATTGAATAGTTTGTAGGAACTAATTTTTTGAGGTTGAAATCTCTATTCGTGATTATGAAAGATAATTCTAACGAATGTTTTAATTTGATTTTTATCCCCTAAAGAACAGGACTGTGTTATTAACAGTGTCTGAATCATCCTTTTTCACGAATGTTGTATTGATTATTGCTGTCCTATATCTTTGTTTCCATGAAAGGAAAAAAAGTTCACCTAGAAATTATTTCTTATGGTGATAACATATTAAAAAAAATTTAAATTAGACGTGAGAATCGAAAAACATTTCCCTTATGGAAGATAGTTTTCTTAAATAAGTTATCGAATATATATGTTTCAAATGGGCGCATTAGAGTCAATATGCTCAATTGATGACCTCTCTAAAGGACGAAAGTTCAAATAGTTGAAGTAAAAAAAAAAAAAAAGAATAATAATATTAAGAAACAACAAGGGAGGCATTACATCGTCCTCTTGTCACCTTCCCTTTACGTGGCTTAAGGTCATGGTCCATAAAAATATTTGTATGATGTGACTTAACACTCCCCTGTTTAAACCGATGAGAAAAAAGAATTGGCATATAACTTAGCTACTGGATGTTTCCATGTGTTAGGATTTCATGGTCTTGCACTTGATACCTATGTTAATTTCTTTTTGACTTGTGCTTGGAAAAGACAGTTTGTTTGAGTTTGAACTTTGAAGGCACGTTATCTCACTTGCGAGATAAATTTACCAATAACAAATTTCGTCCCATTTTAGTGCAAAAATAGATCGCATGTGAGTAGAAACCTACCTGTACCTTCCTCATCTTATCTTAAGAATTCTTATCCTATAGGGTTAGAACAAAAATGACAATTGCACAAAGAAAAAGGAAAAAGAAGTTCAAAATAGTGTTTCGTGAAACTTGAACACAGTGTAAGAATTTTTCTTCAAGTTTCAAGTGCTACTGATTGCATCCTGCAGGCTCCATTGGAAAATAAATTAATATCTAATCCTGCATGTACTTTTGACTGATACATATCCTGCAACTTAACAGGTATCCTGTTTGGAAACAACCTTAATTTTTCATTTCAATGGGAAACTGCTGGACTAAGGTAAGCCTGGCTGGAAGTTCATCTCTTTTCCTTTGGTCGTATGTTTTCAGGGTCTTGTATTGGATTTCTGTTGTATGCTCTCTGCTTTATTTTGTTTGCTAGCCCTGCAGTTTCTGACCGTCCTTTGTATAGTTTGTCTTTATTCATCAAGTTCTTGGGTCATCTTGGGTCCATATAAGACATAACCAAGTGGAGGTTTGAAAGAAATAACACTTAGCTTCTGTGGATTCTTACTCGTTCAGAATCATGCAAGTCCACTAAATTTTCAGAGGATCAAATTTTCCCTCTTTAATTATCGTATCTGAACTCTCTTGTTCTTAAAGATTTTTTAACAAATCTACTTTAAAGAGATTTATTCTGAAATTCTTATATGAAGTTCCACTTCCTTGTTCGCCGATAGTCAAGGTTGATTTATTCGACTTTCCCTTCATTTACATGATGTCAACGTTAGACCTTTGACGATAGTGTTGGAGTGTTACTGTTCAAGTTTTGGCAATCATCCTTGATACCCATAGTCTGAAAATTTCTTGAACGTGGTCCTCTTCTGATCACTAGATGCATGATTAGACCATAGTTTTTAATTTCTTTGTCATATCTTTAACGTTATAAAATTGTAAACCGTGTTGTTTCAACCTGCTCAAATAAATTCTGTCTTCTAAGTGAGTTACATCCACACTTGACATTCTGTAGGTTTTCAGTAGTGATCAAGAAGACTATGCTGAAGTCCAGAATGTTGATAGCAAAAACGTACATCTCATTGGGTCGATGGAGAAGTGGGAGGCGAAGCTTTTGGAAGCGACCAGAGATGGCAAGATTGTAAGTTTCTCCCTATATACTATTTCTTCAATGTGAGGATGACGAATGAATTTCTAGTCCACTCATTCATTTTTAAAACCTATATCCTGTTCAAGTAAGGTGGTCTAGTCCTCTTAGTTTTTTGTGTTCGGCATTTAACAAATTCAGGATGTTTTTTCTTTGTATAAGTGAATCGTGAAGAAAAATATACAGAGTTCTTTTACCATAAAACTATGGAACAGGTCATTGCAAATTTCAGTGCATCATGGAGTAGACCTTGTAAGTCCATGACGCCAGCATATTGTGAGCTTGCTGATAAGTATACTTCCATGGTGTTTTTGGCCATTGATGTCGATGAGCTAGCTGTAAGTAAAAACACTTTTTGGTTGCCCTTCGTTTATGTATATAAATTCGAGTTTCTAGAGGCGTTGAAGATGAGTATGAATCTAGCTCCCTAGTCCTAATTTAAACTAATAAGGGTCTATCACTTTATTGTTTTCTATTGCGAATTGATTGGAAATTTCTTGGACTGATCTCAGGAGCTCAGTAAATCATGGGATATCAAAGCCACTCCAACATTCGTGTTCTTTAAAGATGGTCGCCAAGTAGATAAATTAGTAGGAGCTGACAAGTCAGATCTGCAACAGAAGATAACTGCAATGGATGAATCGGTAATGAAATCTCAGAGTTGATAACTTTTTCTTCCTCATTTATTATCATAGATAACACATTCATGCATAGAAATCTAAAAGCACAAAAAGATAAAAGAGGAAATCTTTTCGGCTTTATTATCACACGTCAGTGTGAAATTTATTCATACTCGAGGTTTAAATCAATCTTTATGGTTCCTTGCTTGCAAGAGAACACGATGTACTTTTATCAAATGCAATGCAATTTGAAGCACTTACCAAACTATAATTGTTGTCTTATTGTTCAATCACAAGAATTTTAAAGCTTATTGTAGCATATAAAAAATATGCCCCTCCCCTTGTTTAGTTACATCCCATTGAAGCAGCAACTTTTACAAGCAAACCAAAGAGCAGAGATGGTTTGGAGAAAAAGGAACCGTGATCCGTATCGAAAAGCTAAAGGATCAACGGGTCAAGTTTTACTACAATTACTTAAAATGCGTTTGGTTTCTGATAGTCATCCCTTTATCATGGCTTCTTATTACTATGGTTTTATCATTCGATCGTACATTGTTCTTATATACACTCGTTTCACTTTACCAGCACCTGTTCTACGCCTCCAGTTTGACCTGACCTTGGAAGCATGGCGGCCAGCGTCGAATCCGTTCACGACGGAGGTTAGAGGTGCAATGGCTTCTAAATTCGTTTTAAGATTAAACAAATCTATATTTAGATCGTTAAGTTCTACGCAAATTTTAGAATCAAAACAGAGGAACCGGGTGAAAACTACTTAGGTTTTGGGTACTTCGTGTGGGGACTCGTGTGATAGGCTATTTTGCGGTGGAATTCCCTTTTGATGACAGCAGTGGTGGGAGGGTGTTGGGTTCCTATAGTCCAAATTCTCGTCATAAGCATCCCCAAACTCGGATAAGTCTGGTACTCCCTACACATTTTACCAAAAAGAAAAAAAAAAAAGCAAACGCTAACCATCATAATTAAAATGATTAACTCGTTAATAATAGCCTAATCCTCTTGCTCTTTGTTAAGATAATATAAAACCGTTGACCAAAATTCCTGTAGGGAGAGGGGCAATGACAGGGAAAGGAAAATAGAATTGAATAAACGAGACATGTCAAATTTCGATTGGGCCACGTGGACAACAAAAATTCCTGTATTCCTATAAATTGAATGCAGAGGCTGGGTCGATGGTATTATGGTAATGAGCATTATGGCATTGCTTTTAAAAGAGAAGAATTTGTAGGCACTAGAGAAATAGATTCCGACAGTGAATAAATGAATTGACTATTTAATTTGAAAGAAGAGACTCTTAACAATTTTTTGGATTGAATGGAGAGAGAAGATTCAACGTGTGACTGTTTAACCAAGACCACAAAATAGTTTGGTTAAAGGGTGTTCCTTTAAAATTGGTGGTCACCGCTGAATGGAATGAAAGAGATCTATTATGGATTATAGATGAGGGAAAAGGGAAAGAGAAGTGTAGGGAAGTAAATTGGGGCATTTAGAGAGGGAGCTGGTGGCAATGGCAAGCCCACGTTTGGGTGTCTCCCTCCATTACCGAGCATTTTCCCCACTCTTCTTGTAACCTCAAACATGGATCAATCCCTCTCTCTCTCTCTCTCTCTCTCTCTCTACGAAACTACAATTATTTGCTCATTTGGTTATGAAGTAGTCATAAAGTTTCCACTTTTTGAACAAAAATGGGTCTCTTCCATCTGATCCATTATCTCACTTTTCATGAACCTAATTATTGAAGAGCTGTTTTGGTTTGAAATTTCATATATATATTAACGGATTTAGTTTATAGTTAATAGATTTTTTAAATTTTATAAAAACGTTGAATATCTTATAGATATATAAGACACAAAATTGAATAAGTTCGTAAATTTATCTAATTGAAAGACTTCTTGAAAACTTATAATTTAGCTATTAGATTATCTTAAGATATGAACTAATAAATTTGGGTGTACATTTAGTTGATAAGTTGGTTTATCTCAGAGTACTAGGGTGTTAGATTGACATGTATATAGGGTTTATTAGTTATACAATCACTTTCTCTCTTAGAATGGTCGGGATTACACCATTCGTGTCCATATTTTTTTTAGTTTAATAATTATTAAAATGAGAGATGAGAGATTATACTGCGACTTTTAAAATGATAATCTTATTATATTTACTCCGTGGGGTTCGAATTGATTTCAATAATAAAGGTTTAATTAAACTTTAGAATAGTCACTAAAAAATTAAATAATTATAATTATGATAGAGAGAATAAATTTGGTAGAGAGATATGAAGATTAAATATATTAAAGTTGGAAGATATTAATGAATTCTGATAATATTTTTTAAAATAATAACCCCATTTAAGGGTATTATTAAAAAAAATTAAAAATTAAAATATTTTATTAACTTAATCTAATAATAATAATAAATATACATAGAGTAAATTTAGCTGAGAAATAAGAAGATTAAATATATTTTAAAAAAAGTTGAGAGATATTTGAGAATATTTTTTAAAAATCTTTATCCAAAACAAAAATTTTAAATAGTTAAAGGTATTATTAAAAAATAAATAAATTTTAAAATATTTTTATTAATTTAATCTAATAACATATATACATAGGGAGAAGGCAGGGAGGGGCAAATTTGGTAGAGGGGTTATGAAAGAGGAAAAAGAGCGGTAAGATGAGAAGAAGTCAGAATTTGAAAAAGGGAATCTTAAAGCTCTCGTTATTTCCACAATTTTTGAATATTAAATGTCATTTAGCCCCCTGTCTCTAGGCTCTCTCTCTCTCTACTGTGATATGTTCTTTCTTTCTCCGAACTTTTCTCATTGTAATCTTCGTTTCTTCGCTCTCAATCCGCCCCCACCTTCCCCCTATCAATCGCACTCGCTTTTCAACTTTCTTTCTTCGAATTGAATTCCGGATCTCTCTGCGCTCTTCATCAACTTGGAAGTTCATCAGGTACTGCCTCCTCTGCCTTTCTTTTCAGATTTGTTTAAAGAATTGGTTCCTCTAGTGTATCGTTTTTTAATTTGTGTTGTTTTGGAGTAGATTCTTCGGCGATTGGTTGTAAATATGGAGATTTCTTTTCGTTTTACCTTCCTAATGAGTTTCATTTCAGATGTGTGGTTTTGTGGATGGTTTCTGCAATATCAACTTGTATTTCTGAATTTTTAGCTGCTTGTCATAGGTTATTCCGCTATTTGATTAACTGGTACTATATCCTTGAAGAAATTGTTCGAGGTTCTTTTTCGAAGGCTTTCCTGCAGATTTTTTTACCGGTGCTTGTGATCGTATGGAAAATTCGGAATTGAAGAAGCTGAAACCATTGTGGCCTGAGGATAACATTCAGAACAGATCTAAATGGCTATCAAATAATCTTGAAGGTAAAGCAGAATTGATGACCGAGTTTTCTGTTGTTACTTGTTCAATCATAACGTAATTAGTCTTCGTTCTTTAGTTGTAGGAAGTGTTATTAGGCTCACATCGGTTTCTGCATGTACAAAACTCTCTTCTATTCCTTTTCTCGTTATCTCTAAGTAGTGTCTCGCGCAGAACTTTGAAACGTACGAAAATAATTAGAAAGCTTCTCTATAACAGAAATGACTCGGAATGTTGAGCAGATGCTGAAGGCGATGAAAGAAAATAGTGATAATTTTCCGAAAAGTGCTGATATGGATTCTCAAGTTGAGGAGTTCTCTCGCTTGTATCAATCGTTGGTTGAAAACGTGTTATCGCCGGAGCTACAATTGCAGGTACCTGTTTATTCTGATTGTGGATCTCCTCGAGGCACTCCGGAATTAAGTTTCAACCAAAAACAGGATTTCAATATGTCCAGCAATAGAGGCTTGGATGTCTCTTTTGATTCAGGTGGTGGTAGCTCCAGCCTTTCTCTGAAGGACGGAAGTGAATCTTCTTCTTCTTCATCGGACTCTGAATTAGAATCTGTCGACAATCACTATGCGGTTTCACGTGATCAAAGAGATGGTCAAGGGCAGAAGAAAAAACTTCTTGAGCTACAAACTGAGCTTCCTCCTAAAATTAGAGGGGCATTATGGGGGGATGAGGAAGACAAGGTAAATTATGATGAGTTGTACGAAAGAATCACCAGGCTTGAGGAAGAACTAAAAGTTTCAAATATAAAGCTTCAGTCGTCTGAGAATGAGGTAGCTAGATTAAAGAGTGAGGTTGAGAAGAATGAAACAGCAATTTTGCTATCAGAAGGCTTGCAGGCTCAGCTTGAGTCGGCTGAAAAAGACAAGCAACAAATGGAGACCGATCTCCAAGTAGAAAAAGGGCGAGTTCTGGAGCTGGAACGTCAAATAGAACAATTGGAAACTCGGAGCTTAGAATCTAATTCCAAAATTGAGAGATTGAGTGAAGAGATAGAATCATGCAAAGAAATTATCAAGAGTTCAGATGACAAGACCACAAGGCTTACGCATGAACTCGAAACTACAAAATCTGACCACCATTTTCAGATCAAGGAATTGGAAACTGCTTTTCAAGTTTCACAGGAGCGATTCCATGCTGAGAAAGAACAGATGCAGACAGATATTCTCAGGCGAATTGAAGCTGATAAAACTGAAATGAGAGCCCTCCACAGCGCTCACGAGACAGCTTTGCAAAGCGAGATTAGTCAGTTAAAGGAAGAACTTTTTTCAAGAAGCGAAAGTTTGGCAGCCTTGAATAGAACCCACGACGAACTCAAGCTCAAATATGATATGCTAATGGCTGAGAAAGATGACATGAGTGCCATGGTTAACACACTTCTAGCAGAAAAAGAATCCAGAAAATCTCAGATCCAAGAATTAGAGGATCACCTTCAAAATCTACAAGCAGAGAAGGAGGGCTTGATTGCAGGATTTGAAAGCCAGAACAAACAAATTGATGATTTGAAATCGAAACTCTCAGCGTTGCAGGAAGAAGTGAAAATTCAAAAAACTATGTTAGAGGATGGGGCTAAGGGGAAAAAGGAGGCCATAAGGCAGCTCTGTTTCTCTTTGGAGCACTACAGAAGTGGCTATCAAGAGCTTCGTGAAGCATTGATTGGGCACAAGCCGCGTCCAGCACTCTCTGCGTTGGTCGGTTGCTTGTAAGATCCCTCGAACTTACTACCATGTCCGATTTTCTGTTCTATATGCTTTTTTTTCTAATCTTGTATCCTTTTTTTTGAGTTTATGAGCATCATTATTTAGTTGATTTTTTAACGTAGGTCAAGAACAATTGAATATTATGTTAAAAAATTTAGACCAGTTGTAAGGATGGACATTTGACGGCTTTGGTTTAACATTGAGCATCCAAAAAGCTGCATATATTTGTTGGAGCATTATCATGCTTCCACCTGCATTCGCTTGTGCATCTCTGAAACTGGGATCTTTGCTTGCAACTACAAACTTCTGTGTGTTACTAATAATTATGTTTTCAAGTTAACATTTCAAAACTTATTTAATTTTTTTTACCATCATGAATTAGGCTAATGGTTACTAGTAATGATAAGAGCCCTACGAGATTCAGAATAAATTCAATCCAATCCATGATGGCCACTAATATTTAAAATCCTATACTTTTTCTTAGAATCAAATGTAGAATCAGACAATGAGAGATGCAAATAATAATAATAAATGACAATAATTACAAGTGAGAAACTCGCTGCTTGTAATCATTGTCATTTGTTATTATTTACCTTATGCTAAAGTTTAAGGATTTAAGTCTTTAAAGTATAAGTCTCTCTGCACATTTTTACCATGTACTGGACAAGAACTTGAGAAGATTTCGTTTCTAGATAACTTTAGAAAAATTAAATAAAAACAACAAACTAAAAGAAAAAATTATATTCAGTTTAACAAAGGAGAAATATATATATATGTAACAAGAAATAGAGGCAGGGCCTCTGTTGGGCGTGATTCTTTTAGATATTAGGATGGGACAATGGAGTTAGGCTCGACTCACTTTGTGGACCAAGAGACAAAGCTCAATATGAGACAGACAAAATAATCACACATAATAATTATTATTATTATAATATTGTTATTATTAATTTAGTCCATACATCCTTTTATTTAATTTCTATTACCATTATTATTTATTATTATTATTATTATTATTATTTTTTTTTTTTTTTTGCCTCCGGGAGAATTTGTTCAACAACTCACTCCAACCCTTTATTTTTTATAAAAATAAATAATAATGGTAATAGAAATTAATCCAACCCTTTATTTATTTATTTATTTTTTTTGTTAAGTTAGGTTATGAACTTTTTTTTAATTATATTTATCTACTATACTTTTATATTAATAATTAAAATCTCGTAAACCTCAAATCTCAAACATTCACCCGTCAAAATTATTACTAAATATTCTTAATTTTCATAACAATCTTAGATTAAGGTATGGTTATCTATTCTTGGTTGAGTTGACCTAATCATTAAAACAAAAAAAATGTTAACTAGGGAACAAACATGAATTTTTAATTTAAAAAAAATTCAACCCAACCCAACATTATAGTTTGGGTTGGTTGTGTTATTAGTTATATAAGGTGGATAGGGTAATAGGATTTAAAACTCTAAGTCAAAATCATATATTTTTAACGAGTTGATATATGCTTAGATTATCGGTACATAGATAAGAAGATTGAATATGTAAATTGTTTTTGAAAGTTAAGAAAAGTTAATTGAAAAATGAATGAAAAGGTAGAAGGAAAAAAGGAGGTAGGGAGGGCCTAATGAAGATTTAGAGAGGGGCCAATGGCGATGTTCAAACTCAGCAGAAAAACAGGAAAAAAAAAACAGAAGAAGATTCTTTTGTGAAACAGCAATACTACAAATCTACACTAAACCCTAAACCCTAAACCCTAAACCCCATTCATGGCTTCTCTCTCATAAAGAGAAGAAAGAGAAGAAAGAGAAGAAAGAGAAGAAAAGGGTAATGCTTTATTTGTGTGGGTATTATATATTGTATGTTTATACATTAGATAGAGGGGTATACATGGAGGCATTAAAAGTGTACAGTTTTGGTGTCAGTGCCACTGTTTCTGTCAATCCCCTTTCCCTTCTAAATTTAACCCACAAACACAAACATGAAGCTGAGGAAAAAGCGAAGAACTTCATTGCCATTGCTCTCTCTCTCTCTCTCTCTCTCTCTCTCTCTCTTCTTGTGTTAAAGGTGATGATGAGCTCTAATTTCTTCCTCTTTTTTTCCTTTTTTTTTTTTTANTTGCCATTGCTCTCTCTCTCTCTCTCTCTCTCTCTCTCTCTTCTTGTGTTAAAGGTGATGATGAGCTCTAATTTCTTCCTCTTTTTTTCCTTTTTTTTTTTTTAAGTTTGTTATAGGTTGAAGAAGAAGCTTGCATGCATGGCATGGTTATGACCTATTTGCTCTGTTTTTATGTTAAAAGGGATTTGATCGTTACAACAACTCCCTGTCTTCCACCCACCACAAGGTAACACTATTTTCCTTTTCTTTCGCATAAATCACTTCTGCTTCTGCCCTTCTATACGCATCCCACTACTTTCATTTCTTCCCGTCTTTATTGATATGTGGCCTTTTAGAAAGTACAAAACAAGACCTCGAGAATTTATGTTCACAGTGGACAATATCATACTATTATGAAGAGTCCTAATTTCTAACCTTCCCTATTTGAAAAATTGGATCAACCCAACCCAATATGTATCGTTTAGGTTAGTCTAAGTTCAAATACATAAATTAATTTTTTTGGGTTAATTTCTAAAAATATTTTTATTTAACTTTATTTTTAACCCGGGTGTATTTTGGGTATGGAAAAAAAAAAAAAAAAAATTAAAGAATCATCTTTATTATTAAAAATTTAAAACTAAGAGGAGGATTTTTTTTCTAATTTTCATATTCTTTCTTGTGAACTTTTTTCTTTAATAAAAAAAATCCAAATTAATTAGGAAATCATTTCTATCCACTAATTATCTTTTTACACAATTTTTTTTAAAAATAATTGGTTAATGATTAAAAATTAGTGTCCTTAATTAGGTAAGTATTAATGGGTTGAACATAAAATATAAATGCTCTGTCTCTATCTCTAGGTTTTATGTTATGTGACTATAATTATATCTAACCTCTCCTATATAAATTAGGCCTGCAAGTTCCTATGAACTAACATCTATCTCTGATTCCTATATTTTCTTTTCCCAAAAAAAATTAAATAAAATAAATAACCCAAACTTTTGACTTGACCCAATGTTACCACAAACATTTTAGTCTTAAATTTTATCTGTTAACGGTAGACTTAATCTGTTCTAAAAATAAAAAAATTATTTTTTTATAAATTTAATGCGGGTGAATAATCAATTGGAAAATTTAAGGATGTTATGGGTTTTGTTGAGTTTGGATTTACTTTCAATTTTTATGAAATAATTAGAATTGATTTAAGTCATTATAATTAATTAGAAATATTAAAATAATATTTGTGCTAAAAATCACAAACAAATTAGAGGTTGAAATCACGTTTAATTATTGATTTGATTAAGAGAAGCCCTCAACAAGGAATCCTTTGGCAATTGAGGGTAAAATTGAAGGTAGAAGTTAAAATAATAATAATAAAATATATATATATATATATATATACACACATTAATTTTTATGATGAGATAATGTATAAAGACAAGGAAATTAAAAATAAAAAAAAATATACAAGGTTGTACTAGTTAAAAATACATAGGACCCACATGCTACATATGTTACCTTGACTTGTCTATATGATCTATGTTGTACTAGGAAAAAAAAAAAAACCAACATATTTGGCATTCAATTGTCACATGTTCAAAAATAGGAAGCAAAAACACCTTGTATATCATATGAGCTTGAGTAATGTCACATGATATTGAACTCCAAATTATTTTAATCTAATTTAGTTTCCAATTTTGGGTCGTACTCGGAGTTCAAATATGAATAGTGGTTCGAAAGAGTCCAAAAGAAACCATATAAGCATAGACTTACTGTGAGATCCTACATTGATTGAAGAGAGTAACGAGTGACAGTAAGGACAATGGGCACCTAAAAGGGTGGATTGTGAGACCTCACATCATCCGTTGAAGAGAGGAATAAAACATTCTTTAAGGGTGTGAATGTCTCTCAAACAGACATGTTTTAAAAACTTTGAGAGGAAGTCCATAAAGAAAAATTCAAAGAGGACAATATCTACTAGCGGTGGATTTGTGTCGTTACACCTACCTTAAAGTAAACCTTTTACGTTAACTTAAAAATATCGATATTATTGTACAAATCTCTTTGAATAATTCTTTACTCTCTTAGTATTAGCTAAGTTTTTCCTTTTCTTTTCCAAAACGTAAAAATATGTATTTCGAAACTGATACGCTGCATACCGAGCGTGCATCATATTCAAGATATGAAACTTAAAACTAGATTGTATAAATGATTATCTAGCTAAGTATGTTTTATTCTTTTCCAAAATGTTTTAAAAAAACATCTACTTAGAAACATCATATTCATATCACACACATCAAACATAGGTCACAACAGGAACAATATTAGATTCAAATCATTAGAGTTTCATTCCATCTCTTTGCTTCATTAATTACATCAAAAAGGAGAGATAACAAATACATAAAGATATCATAGGGATGATGTCCTAATTCATCACAAAATAACTCAATCTCCCAATGCTTCCACCCTTTTTTTGTGTCAGCAAAGCCTTCACTGCTCCAAAGCTGATTTCAAACACTCATGTTGGCTGCACATTTCAACATTTCATACCCATACTTAGATTATATGAATATCATATGAACAAGCTATCCATTCATGTCAGAAAACCGATCAAAAGGGCTTAGATCGAAAGAACTTGATATGTATGCCTGAAAAATGCCTTCATATGATCAAATCATTCCATGTTCATCTTCATTTTAAAGGGATATGCATATTATAAGTGAAGTTTTGAACATATGTTTATAGTAATAAGCTTAATCTAGGTAGTTTTCTTCATCTTTTATGTTGGGCTTCATGCCCTTTTCCTTTTTTTCAATCGAAAACTCTTGTCAATATGCCCTAAAAGCTTGTTGATCATTAGGAGAGAAGTCCCACATTGATCGAGGGGTTGATCATAAGTTTATAAGTAAGTAAGGATTACATCTCTATTGGTACCAGAACTTATGTTTAAAATAGACAATATCATATCTCTGTTGTGGAGATTTGTGGTTCCTAACCAAACTTGAGTTATTTAGGATTCACATTTATGGTGATACCAATCCAAAATCAAATATAGTATGAAAGCATAATGTCCAAAGAGCTGTTGGCTGAAGGGTTTGGTGAATTTAGAGCTTGGTTAGCTTCATTTGTGAATAATTCTACTGATAATGCTTCATA